ACATTTTCATGCGGTGCTCGATAACTGACAATCGTCAGAATAAAGTTGAACGTTAATATACACTCCGTGATAATGTAACTGCTAATTACATATCTTTTAGGGTATCTGCTATCATGAGTGTATGATTTATATGCGCTTTTACCAGATGTGTACTGTACTGTACGCGATATCTTCTGTTTCCACAAATCGATAATTAGAGACACTCCACGAAAACAAGGGGTTGAATCCAGGTAATCTAGGTTACCGAGATTGTAACAGTTGGGAGAATCACACAATATCACATTTCTTTGCAGTCTTCCACAAATAGAAGAGAATAAAGGAATATTTTTTTTGACAAAACAAAATTTTGGTTTATAAGTTATTTTCATGGTTGTACATCCTGTATATTTCTGCCAGAGCCACAGTGATTTGTACAGTAACATATTCTGAACTTAAAATGTCAAATGACAATAAAAAGGGATGATTCTTTAGAATCCTTTTTTACAGTGTGGTCAAGAAAACGTGTTCAAATATATTACAGTAAGTTTTGAAACGACTTCAACATTTCACTCACCATGAAACTTCTCCATTGGTGAGAAAATGTCAGAATTAGAGATAGTGTAAACTTCTATACGCAAGTAAATTCTCAACAAAATTGTTTTCCAAATTTAATTCTGATGTTGGTGATTTATAACAACGCTAATGATTAACCACGGCGTCGTATTATATTTGTAGAAGGGTCTGGGCGTCGACGCGTTGATGTGATGGGCTTCTCCTCAGACATTATTATGCCATCGCATCTGTACGGCGCGCCAAGTGTTGCAAAAATATTCTATCATACCGAATAATAAAAAAACAAAAAATAATAATTTCAAAAAAAACTAATATGGATAATTCAAAAAAGATAGAATAAAATAATATATTAAAAACAAAAATGAGAAAAATTTAGGAAACACACAACAGAAAACAAACAATGCAACCAATGGTACATGAAAAATATGCGCGCATCTTATATTTCAGAAGAAAAAAAACTTTGTCAAAAAAAAATATGTGCGCGCATCTTACATTTCATAACAAAAACAACAGCAAAAAACGTCTTCGTCAAAAAAAAAGAAAGAAAAAAGATGCGTGCGCACCATACACATGTCACATGCTCTGGTAACATGCAAAGTCGCAGTTGCAAGTGTTCCATGATCTTGAATCGGCCAGCAGGCCTTACATGTAAACAATAGTAATTTATCCACTGGCTAAGGATAGCTGCCACTGCCTCGGCGGAAGTTTATTTATTGTGTAACTACTATCCATGCAGACTATAAGTCTACTAGCTTGCATTGGTCTTCGCAACGCGAGCGTGGGTCATATTGGTATGAATACATACCACCGGGGTCTGCGATCTATTTGTTTAAATACTACTAGTAGATGTCTATGGGGGGATTGGCTGGTTCCCGCCCTAAGTGTCATGGCACCAAGCAACAAGAGGCCGGTAACTAGTAATACTTATCATATACCTCGTATTGCCCGTCCTCGTAACGGTTTGGGAATCCAACTGTGAAATCAACGTGTCTCTACCTGTGGCTACAACATCAGCTCCAAGAAAACGTCCGTTTGTTTATGTATTACATGGACGTTCAGTAAATGACCAACTTAGCTGGACTGTAGTGTTCACTCTTAAGAAAGACAGTTTATAATGAGTTCGTATTTATTACCGTTAAAATATTGTTATACGTTCATTTGCTGTTTTCATTAAAACGTAATTTGTGGATATATTTGGTGACATTAGTTTGGGTATTGTGTGAGAGTTGTTGACGCGTTTGCGTCGTTTAGAAATCCCCCATTTAAATCCGCGCCAGTAAAAAGGCCGTATCGGAACCCGGATTAAATCGAATAGGATTTCTTTTGGGACAGACGGCCATATGAGGTAAATGATAAAACCTTTATAGACTTTTGCTGCTGCAAGCTCGGGCGCTTCCGCCGCACGACCTCGGGCCGCAAAAGCCGTATCCAGTCCATAAAGAATATTACAGCATTCTGATTGGTCCATCGTTCCTTGTTATAAATTTGCACAGAAACAGCGAGAAATGCCAGAAAAATCTCAAATATGTAAGTCTAGGCAGGCAGAATGTATGGGCCTGGCGTAATGAATACTAGTTTACAGAAAACGAATATTAGAATATTGCAAATTATGTCACTTAATCATGTGACTTTGGGCCGGAATCCCGGCCCAGTGAAACACTATGGCGGTTACTAGTTACCTGCGTCCTACTTGCCATTCGCAAGGGAAGCCGGGAACCAGCGAATGGAGCGGAACAACTACGTCCCTATAGAACTGATAGAACTGCGAAATTTGTCAGCATAAGGGAGCTTACACATGCGCAAATTGACATAAGTATCACAACGAATGGAAATTGCCATATTTCGTCATGAAGCGTGAAATTTCGAAAAATAGATGATGTAATCAGCCGACATTTCCCAATAGACCAGTGTCTTATCAGCACTCATAAATGGGTTGGGCAAGGTATTTTGTATTTCGAGGTGTGATTTTCCGCAGATAAATAAATGTGTGCTAGTTTTGTTTTCTCCCTTATTTATATATAGTGCTGGATTATCGGCCGGAAACAAATAATAGTGATTTTCGAGGTTTCAGCGCGTGGACAATTGCTTGCTTTACACACAGTCCCTTCTATCAGGGGCTGTGCTTTACATTACCAAGCTATTTAAATTCTATAATTTCTATTATTTTGAGCATAGGTAAGGTCTTGCCTGGGGAAATAGTCGTCCCGTCCCATAGACGTCCATGCATTGACACGAGTACATCGTCAGGCCCCTGTGGTACGTACCCATACCAAAATGACCCACGCTCTCGTTGCGACGACCAATGGAAGCTAGTCTGCATGGAAAGTAGTTACACAATACCGATAAATAAACTTCCGCCGAACCAGAACATGTTACCTCTAAGGTGCGCACGCATCATTTTTTTGTGGGGGGGGGGACAAAGTTTTTTTTTTTTTTGAGATGTGTGTTTCCTAAACTTTTCTCGTTTTTGTTTTAATATATTATTTTATTTTATCTTTTTTAAATTATCTATATTAGTTTTTTGTTTAAGTTTTTTGAAAGTTTTTTATTATTAATTATTACTTTTTGTTTTATTAATTTATATCAAGTTTGGTTATTTTTATAAGTATTTTTAATTTGCTTGTATGTTCATTTTTGTTTTATTCTTCAGTGTTTTTCATTTGCAAGTTTTTTTCACATTTATTTTGTCGTTGTTCCTGCCTTTTTTTTTTAATTTCCCGCATAGTGTAAATTAATAATCGTTTTTACTATCGACAAGAACGTACATCTTGAAACATTTGGGTTTCCCTTGAAAAAAAATTTTGGTATTCCTTAGTATTTTCATTGTATCCAACTATTGGCTCGTATATACCAACTTCTTGTTGTAGATTATAACACTGTTTTGAGCGACGCATAATCGCT